CTAGGCTGCCTTTCAACCAAAGTAGTCTATAACACAGATAAAATTAAGAGCAATTCAAATGGGACCATGATAATCCCTTTTCCTGTGTCTTCTCTGTTCCATAGCACTGGCTAGGTGGGTTTCATACTCCAGTATAGCCCCACACAGTGAAGTTCTGCCTTTCTGGTTGTTTTCTGTGTTTGCTAGGTCTTTGTCCTTTGTCACCACCTTGAGCTGCTTCTCATTTGTCCTGCTGGGAATCATGTTCTATGTTATCGATGTGAAAAATTGGTGGGGAGGTCAACCTTTCATTTTTCCAGGTAAGTTATTGCAGCTGTGGCCTATTATAACATTTGATTGGGGCAGTAACACCAAGGTAAGTTTCTAACAGTAGCCCTGTGCAGACATTCAATCTACATTGAAAATGACATGGCGTAGGGGGTCAGGGTCACACCCACTGGTCCTGCCCCATCATTGTCCATAGTCTCCACGCATGGAAGAGTCTGTCCCTACAGGGACCTGTCCACATACACTGCTGACATGCAATCCGTGCTTTGTAAAAATGGAGGTTACAGATCTGCACATAAGGAGCTTATGAGTTTTGGCAAGTCCCAACTCTCTTGCATATACACAGGTCTGCACAGATCAAACATCAGCACAGGACTATTGAGGAACCTTTTTCAGTTAGAGTAGCCAAAAGAACAAAACCCTCCTCTGCTTTTGACAGCAAGTGAAATATTTTTCTTTTTTATTTCTCTTATTTTCCAGAGCCTTTCCTGGCTACTGATGTTGCTTTGGCTTTTGACCCAGCAGTGTAGTCTCTGTTTTGATTGTGGCTGTTGTGCATTTTAACGTTTTATTGAGAATCTATTTTATAGATTGTTTTTATGTGGTTGTGGGTTCGCTTTTGTTCTTAACTATTAGATTTTAATAGCTTGTTGAAAGTTGCTTTGCCTGCTTTTTGTAGAAGGGCAGAAAAATGACTAATGAAAGAATTAATACTAATGAAGCTTGGTGGTGGTACACATAGAGACCCCGCAAACCCTTGCCTGAGAATTGCACAATGTCAGTTCCAAAACACATGAAAAGGCTGCTCTGTGATTCATTTAAGTGCTTATTGACATTAACAAGTGATGCTACTTTGAGAGTGCAGTGACTGTACCTGGTGGAAGCCAAGGATAAATCATTCTGTATTTTGCTCAGTCTTAAGACTTCCTCTGGAGCCACTTGGCAATCTCTACTTAATTATGTGTTTGTTCAGGAATACAGACTAGTAATTTATGAAGCTGTTATGCCAAATGGCTTATGTCTATCATAGGTCATAACTCAAGTCTCTAAGCAGCTAGACTTTTGCTCTCAGCAGTCCCTCTAATGCTGCTTAGCTATACATTGCTGATCTCATGCTGGACAATGCAAGTTAGATTCAGGTTCTCCCAGTCAATTTCTCACTGCACATACCCTCATTAGAGTGTAGGCTGCAGTTGCCCCTGACAGCTGTCCTTTGTAAAACAGTGTCCCTCTTTTATTTCCATCTTTCCTTTGGAGGCAATGTCATGCATGCTTTTATAAAACGTTGTTAATGTGAATGGTCAGAGTTGCCACCTTTCAGGTTACAGCCCTCTGTCAAGTAGCACCTCTAGAATCTAGATCCTAAGGACTTGTCAACACCGGAATTTAATGTTCGTCTCAGATTTCCGCAGTGCCCTGTGTGATGCCAAAGTTTGGTGCTCCCCCACCTCTCACACTCCATTCCAAATCACATTGCAGCACCCCCTGCAGTATCCCCTTTCTGCCTCTATAGGTGCACAACATCAGAATGCTGCAGAAGTGGGCTTAAGCCCTACTCTGTTAGGTGCAGCTTATCTGAAGTGTAGCCCATGTTAGTGTTCGCATCCACTGCTGCTTCATATAGTGTGAATGATGGTAGTCACAATGACCATGCTTCAATTTAAAACTTTAAAAATAATAATAATAATAAATCTGCCCCTTTTGCAATTGTTATTGACTGTGGTTCTAATGGTTTTGTTTCTTGTAAGCTGTCTAAAGGGCCCAATAAGGTCAAAAGGCAGGTTTAGAAATTTTAAGACCCATAAAACAAAATATCACCTGACCTGAAGTGGAAGAATAAAGTGGCTCTGTCACATGATCATGTTGGAGGTGGCAAAATGAATCACCGCTAGCATCCTCACCCTTAAACTTTGGGTAAGGCGAAAAGGCCAATTACAATAATGATTCACACCCCACAAGGAAATGTATGGGCAAAATAACTAGCTATCCTTCAGAATTGCAGTGCAGTGATTTTTAATATACAGATTGTCACACAGAGGTTATGCAAGCTACTGTGGTGTAATGGTTAAGAGCGGTAGACTCGTAGTCTGGGGAACTGGGTTTGCGTTTCTGCTCCTCCACATGCAGCTGCTGGGTGACCTTGGGCCAGTCACACTTCTTTGAAGTCTCTCAGCCCCACTCACCTCACAGAGTGTTTGTTGTGGGGGAGGAAGGGAAAGGAGAATGTTAGCCGCTTTGAGACTCCTTCGGGTAGTGATAAAGCAGGATATCAAATCCAAACTACTCTTCTTCTTCTTCTTCTTCTTCTTCTTCTTCTTCTTCTTCTTCATAATGGTATATCCTAAACTATGTTTCTTCCTATGAATTTACAGGGATGAATTCAATTCTCATCTACGTTGCAAGCTCCCTCCTGAGCACATACTTCCCTTTCAACTGGGAAATGAAGTTTCCGAACTCCCACGCTGAACCCTTGTTTCAGACTCTACTAGGCACTTCACTTTGGGTATTAGTTGCTTATCTCCTCTATAGGAAGAAGTTCTTTTTAAAAATATGACATCCTGGGATTCAGGAACGTAATTTTCTCCCTGCCCCCAGCTCTTGTAATATGATTATGATAACTGACAATCTCAAAACCTGAATCCTACACAGGATATGGTGGTGCTGCCTCTCCATGTCTCTTCTCCATCACTTCTTGCAACATGTGACATAAAAATGTGTGATGCAACAGCACCATCCCTGCATCACAATAATATGAGGCTGGAGTGGGGAGACTTCAGTCACAATGCCATTACATCTCACTTTGTTTAAACATTACAAGGCAAAGATGCAGAATATAGAGAGAGCAGAAGCTCTTTGTCTCATATAGCATCTGGCTCACTCCCAAATCAGTCCCAGGAATCCAGTCTCAGCACCAAGCAGCAAGACAGGTAAGGAAGTATTCTGCCAAAACAGTTTCTCATGGACACCCATTGGAATTGACAATGAATCCATTCCAAAGATGGGGGATAGGGAACTTGTGGCCCTGTAGGTGTTAGATAAATTCAAACTCCTATCAGCCCCAGCCAACATGGCCAAAGGTTAAGGATGATAGGAGCTGCAGTTCATCAACATCCAGAATCCACATGTTCTCCACATGATGCAAAATGTTGTATTGGAGCTGGCCCCAAATATCAACAATGGTCTGAACTTCTGCCATGAACCAAATACGTTGGTACTGAAGTTTAGCTGGTTTCACTGATTAATCCTTGTGTACTTGTTCCCTTTTATCAAATGTGTGTCTCGAAGGTACAAAATAAATAAACAAGCAGCTTAAACCGTTGATTCAAGATGTCGTTTCCCTCATTCACGGATGTACTTTAGAAGCCATATAGTTGCACATTTGCGTTCAGCAAATCTCAAGTCATGTGAAACTTGAGGACATACTTCCCTAGGAAACAGGGTTAATGTAAGGACAGCATGTTGTCACCTCACTCTTCTTAAAAGTGAGGACTCTTCCTTTATGTTGTTGTTGCAGTATCAACCAGACCGCGGACGTCTGATATCTGCTACCTTTAGGGCGTGATGCTTTTGATAACTTTTTGTTAATACAGCTTGGGGCTGTAGTATCCCCCACAAGTGTTCTAGTGGTGTTACATTTACTAGTCTAGTGTATCTGGTACTCCAGGCAGAAATCTTTATTCTCCTTGCTACAATCCTGTGTCAGTAGCCTACTCCTCTGACCAGAAAACAGAAGCTAATAAACTTTTTATTCATTGGTTACCCAAATCTATCACTGCCTAAAACTGATTCCCCTACCCAGGAAGCCACCATTTTTCTCCACCCATGACAAGAAATAAGTATTATTATTATTAATTAAATTTCTATACCACCCTTTCTCCAATGATCATAGGGCTGTTTACAATATAAAAACACAAAACTGCATACTATAATAACAAACCAAAACAATACCCCCCAACACACATACAGTTTAAAAGATCATAGGTTGTTTAATTAGCCAAAGGCCTGGAGAAAAGGAATGTTTTTGTCTGGCAACAAAAGATATGTAACAAAGGCACCAGATAAGCCCTTCTGGGCAGAGTATTCTACATGCGGGGAGCCACCGCAGAAAAGGCCCCGCTGTCATGTTGCCGCCCTCTGGTCCTCTCCCATCACTTGACGTGCTACAGTTCTTTCTATGGTTGAAGGCAGGGCCTTGTTTTTATTTTGCTCTTCAGTTAAGCACGGCTAGCATCACATCACTACATTGATCTCCAGCACTGGTGAGAACCTCATTGCGCTGTCCTTCAACCAGTGCTGAAACTGAAGGATCTTAAGTGCCTCGCATAGGTCAGGGTTATGGCACTCCATGGGATTAATTTAATTTTAAAATTTCCAACCATCTATATTTTATCTGAGCTAGGGAAAATAGTGAGTCACTTTGTTTCAGCATTGTGAGGCCTCCAGAATGTCGCCACTACCTAAGACTACAGGGTACTGTTAATATATTTCAAAATAGGGAACTTTCTCTCAGCAGACTTGTTAAGTTATATCTTAATGTTGTCTTGGGGTGTGCATTAATAATAAAAGATAATTAAATGTTATTTTTAAAAAAGAAATTTATGTGCTTATACTAGTGTTTTTCAAGCTATCCAGGAATATTTTCATACGAACCTCTCTACTCAAAAACCCCTGGATATCACTGTATATTGTAGAGGATTGTTGGGGATGTTATGGAGCATATATTTGGCCTTGCCTGATGAGCCTCATCTAACATGAACAGAGAATAAGCTAGTGTGATCTGAGAGTGTATCCTATGCCAAACGTTGTTCATGGCTGCACATTGCAGGGGGAAAATCAGGAGTTACAAGTGAGTTGTATGTCTGCCATTACTGCCTTATAAGCTTCCAAGGAATACCAGGATTCCCTGAAACACTGTTGGAAGACCACTGGGTTAAACCTGTACAGAAGCTCATTTTTGTGGAAGTTCTTAGCAAGCTTGGCCCCATTACCACACACAAGGACTTGGAAGTACCCGATCCTGCTGTGGCCTTAACATTGTGAATGGGATCGTCCCCTAGCCCCTTATGCTGTTTACTGGAGGATGACTAGGAGAGTATCATCTACAGGAACGAAGGCTGCAGCAGAGTCTTTGGCCCTGGATGACTCTTACATGTACATTGGAATGAACACACAATGGAGGAGAACTCCCATGATTAATCTGCCCACTAGACTTCTTAAGCAGGATCCTAAAGAAGGAATTGTATGTCAAGTATTACTTTTTCAATTAATGGAAAACTCTTCTTGTTGTTGATTTTCAAATAAGGGCTTTACCTTTTTATATTCAAAGTTTATACTGGGTTTCTTTTTTATTTGGAGTTCTCAGAGTAAAGGAATACTCAGAGTCCTAGCTCCAAATCCCAAGAGTCGGCGAGTAGCCAATTTCTGTTTGTATTCCAAAGTCATATGAAGAGTACTCTCTGGCAACCCAGCCTGGAAGAGGCTATAATGTGAATATGACAGCTAGGCAATATTTGGTTGGCGATATTAGAGAAGAAGTGTATAAGTGCCGCTGAAGAGGAAATCAGCCAGACTTGACTCTAGGTAAGTGGGATATCAACAATGTTTCCTAAACCCTCCTGTTGTTGCTGTATGGAAGTTTTTGTTTGTTTGTTTAAATTTATATACCACTTAATTGTGACAAAAACATCAAAGTGGTTTACAAAATTGGGATCCTAAATCATATTATTTCCATTTTTTAAAAACTCAGTAAGAGCAAAGGACAGAGAATGGAGAGCACAAATATTTCAAAAACAGCTATTGCAATAAAGATTCCCAGTATTTCTAACATATCTTTCCCCTCCTTTTCCCCTAAGATATCAGAACAGTCAAATAATCAAGGGAAACTTATTTTTTGAGGGAATCTTGTAAAATATTGATTGGGGAGAATTAATACTGAAAGGGAAAATTATTTCTGAGGATCTGGCTTAGAAAGGCATTATTTGTGGGGTAGGGGTGTCAGAGGAGAATCTGGCAGGGAAATTAAACTGTGAAAAGAGAAGCTGTTTTCTGTATGTTTCGGTGATAATTGTGTTTGACCACTGCAGCAAAAGTACACCAAATTCATCTTAGTCCAAAAGCAGCGATCCAGATACTTCTGAAAACAAGCAGCGCAGGGCAGGAAGGTATGCCAGATACTACAAATGTATTTCAATTCTTAATGTGTTGGCTTGCTCTGCAAAATCCTAGCAATCTCTCTCTCAGGGGTGGGGAATCTGTGGGACACCAGAGGTTGCTGGATTCCAACTCCAGAATGGCCAGTGATTCGGAACTGGAATCTAAGAACATATCAGGGGTGTCACAGAGTTCCCACCACTGACGTAATATTTCTGTTTGAAAACAACAACTGATATTGTGGTGCCCCTTGTATTCCCCACTTATGAAAGACCAGTAGTACACAATCCCCACTCTCTGTAACAGATTATGCCACCTTCACTTAGCCTTATCATTCTGCATACAATTCAGATTTTAATCTGAATTGATATGCTCCCTTTTAATTGCAGGGAAGAAGCAATCAAGGGCTAAAAACTAAACATTGATCATTCATAGCATGAAACTGGCACTTATAGCATATTCTGCCTGATTTGCCATTAACTTGCTGCGGTGGTCTGCTTTTTCTGCAACTGTTGGCCTGTGAATGGCCATTGAGTTGTTCAGTTCCTGCACTTTGCTGGCCAGACAAGCCATTGATAAAAAGGGACGTTGTGGTTTTGAATTACAGACAGACCAATCAATCAGGGGACAAAGGATGAAGGCAAGTTATTAAAATTCAAACTGCATCTCAGCTTCCTGTAGAATTTTAAAAATTATTATTACAGCTAACTTCATCAGCAGTCAGAATAGACATGAACTTGCCGGCAACTGACATTTAAAAACTTCTTTTTGTGATTTACTTCTTATTTTTCTATGTCATTATCTTTGCCTGAACAATGGGCCAATATGTGTGACAGGAGATTAAAAGTCCCATGTCCCTTCATACTTTGTTGAAATAAAGTTTAAAATAAATTAAAATGCATTAGATTTTTGCAAAGCATCAGAGCAGATTTTTGGCAACACAATGTTTTTAAATTGCACAACTTTGGGGAAATCTAATATAGACTGGTATAAAAAGTATGTGTGCTTGACCAATGATCAGGGGCAGATATATTATCTGGTTGCCACTAGCCTCCTAAAGTGGGAAATGGCTGTGCTGGATAAAAGACATTAAATGTGTTTTCTGGAGTCTGTTTCTCCATAGACCCACAGCTGAGGTCAATGCAGAGCAGAAATTTTCCATCCCCTGGAGCAGCTTGCCATGAACTTGATTATATGACCATATAAAGGTGTATCAGATGTATCTGTAGGTGTTGGATTAATATGCAAATACTGGAAGATTATGTTATACCTCTTTCGGTCCTATTTGCAGAGCTGGCTGCTTGCTCATTTTACAGTGTTTTTTTAAAGTCGTTTTATTTTAACGGTTCACAGTTTAGAGGTGGGGAAACAATAAAGGCTATTCCACCTCCCTTTTACAAGCCGAGGCCAGAAAAACACAGCAGAATATTAGAAATACAAATGACAAAGGCAGGAATGAAATCATATGCCTGTGATGGCTTGGGATTCGGACTCAGAGGCTGAACCTGAGGAATCCCAGCCTGCACAGGAGTCCCCGCCTCCAGAACCAGCTGAGCTGGGGCTGGGGCCTGAGCCTGAAGGGTCCTCCCCTGTGTTGGATCCTCAGCTGCAGGCACCAGCTGAGTCTGCTCTAGCCCCAGAGGTGATGGAGGACCCGTTGCCTGCAGGTGCTCCACTCTCAGCCCCGTCAGGGGAAGAGGAGGTTGCCTCTGGGTCCGGTAACCCTCCAGCCTCTCCTGAGCTGCAGAGGCTCAGGGCAGAGAGGCAAAGGGAACTAAGTTCCTGCAGGAGGAGTGCTCGCCTCTGGGCCAGGAGAGGCGAGTCACCTGTGGACCGGGGCCACCCTACACCTTGGGGCAGATAAAAGCCAATCAGCCCCAGTCCCAGTTGCGGGAGCAACGTTGTTGCTAGCCTGTCCTTGCCTGCACCCTGTCCTGCTCTTCTGCCAGAGTTCCTGACCCCACCCGACTCCCTGCCTTGGACCCAGCTACAGCCTCCATACCGCACCATCGACCTTGGACTGGACTCGGACCTCGCCTCTTGGTTAGCCCCCGGGACCAGCACAAAGCCAGTCTTCCCATCACACTCTCAGGGTGCTCATGATTCTGGGTGGAGAGGCAGCAGACGGAGAGGCTTCTCTTAGGAAAGGCAGCTACTGACGGATCCAGATTTGGGGGCTGGACAAAGTGCCTGGTGACTTTACAGGGTGACAGGTGACAGTGGTAGTATGGGCATATGCAGTAGCGCTGAAAGGAAAGTTGGGTGACTAGCAAGCAAAAGAGGGAGCCAACATTTTCATCTCTCCTCATTGCTCTCAATGTAGTGTCACAGTGGATTAATGGTGGATTTAAGAGCGTTTTTCAGGCTCCATTCCAGGCAACACTTGGTTTCTCAGAAGCCAATGAAAAAGGTCAGCAATGGCAGGGTGAGACATTAGGGCATAGGTGCCAACTTCCTGGTGCCCTGGGTGCCCAAGCACCCACAAAATTCTTCATGAAGGGACTGGGCACCTGCAAATTTCAGTGTCATACACGCTGTAGGGCACCCACGGTCACAGGGCCAAGTTGACACTCCTGCATTAGTGTCCTCAGTCCTCATCTGACATGCTCAGTACTACACCACAGTGGTCTGTACAAGTTGCATATTCATAGGTTCCACATAGGTATATTTGGCTGAATGGACAAAGGCTGGGAATAGGGTCTGTCACCATGAACACAACTCTCTCCTCCATGTATCCTGCTCATCATCTAGACAAGGCTTGGATCTTAAATCAAGAACCACATTTCCTCATGGTCAACCATGCCTGTGGTGGTTGGGGCCAGAGGTGAAAGGGGATGGCGCAACGGGTATGACTCCTATATTTGCATGGTAGGTTATATATTCCAGCCAAGCACAAGTTTCTGTAAGCCCAGTTACATTTTCCATACAGACAAGCAAGAGGCATCATCACTGTTCAGTAACACATTTCAGCCACACAGAAACACTCAGGGAAGGTTGTGGAACAGGGCTGGCATGGAAAGTGGGCAAGAGAGAAGGTACAGCCTAGGGAGAGTCCCAAGACCTGATGCTCCCCACCTGTATTCCCCTGTATTGGAACAGGAATAAACAAAGCACTTAGCTTCCTATAAACACAGCCTACTCTAAGCAGTCAAAATGGCGGTCTTGCCAAGTTTCAGTGGGGAGCTTCCAAACTGAATGCACAAATGCAAAGGTCTCAATCTTCCATGTTCTGCATAGGTGGGCTAGGAGAGAGATGCAAAGACAGGTTGAGGGCTGAGGCACAAAACTGGCAGCATCCCTTGGATTTGGCGAAGGAGAGGCTCCAGGTGGAAAGAGGACTGTGGCCAACTTTCCATGGACTTAATGGTTGGTGAGTTTCAATGGTCACTATTTTTGCTTAGTGCATATATTCCTTTATGATGATGCCCCATCTTGATTGATGCAGAACAAAAAGCATACTTTCAAATTCCTGCCTTCAGCAGCAGGAAGCTGATTATCTTCCAAAACTGTCATAACGAAAGGAAGGCAATGACTGCTAAACTGAGCAATTGCTCTTCACTGGACCCTTAGAAATCTTTGACATCCACCTCCGTATGCCATAATGAGTGTGTTAGTCTTTAAGGTACCAGAAGATTATTTTTCAGGAAAAAAAGACCAACAAAGTTGCCCTTATGGAATTTATTTGGAGATTATCAGGGAAAGAAACCAATAGGAGAGTTACAGTACTTAAAAGTTGCCTTGGGCACCTTTGAAATTAAGTTGCTAGCTTTTACCATATTTATTACATTAATATCCAGCCTTTCTTTCCATCATAGCACTCAAGGGAGCATATGCTGAGTTTCCCAGACCAGTCCCAGACCTGCTTAGCTTTAGCAAGATGGTTTTTACCCCAGCCGATGAGAAAATATTTTACTGTTTCAATGACTGGTTGGTCATTGATTGACAAGAGAACAGTTTAAATAAAGATTTAAACTGCAGTTACAACTATACCAAGGCTGCAACCCTGTGTAAGCCCTGTTGAACTCAGATTTATTTTCTAAGTAATCATGAATAGCAGATGTGGGGAACCTTATTTTTCTTCCGGAGGGAAAGGTGGGTAGAGGGCAGCTTGCCTTCCGGAAATGCTGTCCAACACTTCCATTCCACTTGGTCTCCCCAGGAAAGGCAGGATCATGTGCTGAACCCCTCAGGTTGCATTCTACTGTTGCATAGGATGCTGCTGCATGTATTTTTTTTTATTGTACTCCTAGCTAAACTGACCATGCCAACTTCAAATCTCACATGAAAGCATATGCCGTCTTGTGAAATCTTAAAAAGTATCTTTGCAGTCAAAACCAAGTGCAAATTCTCACTCCATTGTGTATATTCAGTTGAAACAGAATATGTTTTCTGTTAATATATAGGAACCCTCAAACTATGCATCGTTTATTCTACCTAATGTGCTTCTTTCAAATTCAAATAACGCAGAAGCATTTGTTGGAAGCAGCCAAGTGTGCTTTCCTTGTCCTCGTATATAAAAGTGCAAATGTTAACCATGAATTTTAAAAAGGTCACTGCAGTTGGTCAATCAGTATAAATTGGATGTAGCTTGTGGGCAGAAATGAATCTAGTCAAGCACTTAGGTCTATGGTTTCCTTGTCTCTTCCATGAGCTCTTCTTAGGCTGTGCTGTTCATCTTCCTGCTTAAAGGTCCAGTTCATAGGAATATGGGAAGCTACCTTATACTGAGTCATTGGTCCATTTAGCTCAGTATTGCCTTTCCAGATCTTCAGACAGGACTCTCTCCCAGCCTTCCTTCGAGATGCTGGGGACTGAACTGGAGACAAAGTAGATGCCCTGCCATTAAGCTATGGCCCTCCCCCAATAGATCCTATGGTGGAGCACCACTGGGACTTGTTAGGCGGCCCTTATTCCCCCCGCAGAGCTACAATTCTCAGAGTGGTTTAACAATCACCCCTCATTCAGGGGAGCTCCTGGAACTGTAGCTCTGTGAGCAGAATCAGGCTATCCTAACAACTCTGCACAACTTGGTTGTGCAAATGAGCCACAAGGGGCAGGCTTGTAGACTTGCTCCCACAGGTGAGCATTTTGCTTTCATTCTACATTTCAGCAAATGTTGAACTCTCCTCTGTACTCAGCAATGCCAGGAGCAGACTGGTAAAACCACTGGGCTTGAACAGAGAGCTGGGGGGGGGGAGTATACTTCCAGCAGAATAATAACAGTACAAAATTGATGTTCCTTAGAGCAAAACTTATTCTTTCCGTCCTGGATTCCCCTCCACTTTTCCCCCATGCCCATTTATCAATCATGGAACCTTTTTTTTATTTATTGTCAGTATAGATCTTGTCCTCTGTAAACTGTCTGTTTGTGTAATGGATGGATTGGTTCCTGCTTTGCTTCATTCAGATGGAGGGTAAGTTCAGATGCCATATGCCTCAGAGAGAAAGCAAGGCAGAACCAGAGAGGACAGAGGAGGGCTTTAGAGGACCTCTGGCTGCTCTTTTCCGTTTTATTGTTAGATCCATCCACGGGTGACAGTTGTATGTGGTGAGGGTGGATTTAAAAACAACACTACCCTAATTCTGTTTTAGCATGATGGAGAATGAAAAGAAAACATTAATGAAGTGCATGTGTGTTTTGCTACAACAGGCCAAGGCTACTGCTGTCACAAAATTGTACTGATGGTAATTGTACTGATGGCACAATTACATAAGATTTAAATCCTACTGAGATAGATTCATACCTCATACTTCACACAGGAATTGGGGAACATTTTCTGTTAATGTTGGCTGATCCAGTCCCTTTGGTTGGCCATGGTTGCAACTTCCACAGTCGCACTTGGTCATTTGATAATTGGTTTTCAAATAGCCCTTTAAATAAATATCAGAAACTCACTGGTAACTTAAGACCAGGCCTTCCCACTGATTCCCTGGAACCAACTGACCAGTTTGGATCTCTTCTTTCAATAACAGTCTGTCGTTGCCCTGACAACGCTTGGGCCCAGAACTCTGGCTTGCCACTCCAGGTGAAGCTGCTGATGCAGTGAAACAGAGTGTATTAATATGCTCACGATGTCAGTCATTTCCCCCAAATGACTGAACAATTTAGCCATTTTATTAAACCAGTGAGTGAAATAATGATTTTGTGAAGTGATTTAATTTCCGTCATTTCATCAAAAGTATTGGTTTCACAAGGTTACTTTCACGGGGAAGGGCAAAATCCATTCCTCAGTTGTGTGGCCGGCTGCACATGGGAGGGAACCTTCCCCACACCCACTGTGCACAATGTCCCAGACACCCTTCAGCCCCACCCTCTTTCCCAATGCAAGATTTCGATCCCCATGCAGATCCCTGCTTGGGGATGTGTGATGCCCTACTCTTCTCACCCAAACTTCACCTGCTGAACATACAGTCCATGAAAGATGAACATTCATGCTGCTTACAATATAAAACTTGAATATAAAATTGTAAGACATGCACTGCAACATTTTTACATGCAAAGTTGAAATATGTGAGTAGCCCTCCCCACCAGGGTTTGGGTTGTGGAGATGGCTAATATTTACATGTACCCTTGAACCTATCTAAACAATCTTGCAGCATTGCTAGTGTGGGCTGAGGATGCCTGTAACACAGGTTTTAGTCGTGCCAGGAAGTTTCCTTGACTTTTTAAGATAATGTCATGTTGACACACTGGATCAAATCCTTCCAAGGTGGTTTTACGCGATATGGTATGCTGACATTACCCATGCTCCCTTAACTGAGAGCAACTTGTGGGTGTGCAATAGGTTTCCGGCCACATAATCTTCTGAGCAAACATAATGCTCCTTCTGCAGGTTAATCTGGGTTTTTTATATATATAAAAGCCGCACAAATGTCAGTGAATCTGAATAAATTACCTGTCGAAGGAAAGAGCCACCACTTCTCGGTTTTATTAATGTTCTTTTAGCACAGAGGCTTTGAACTTTAACAGATATATTGCAAAGCTCAAAGTCCTAACTGCAAACTTGTACAAAATGCAAAAAAGACATTAAAATAATTCCTAATTAAGAAAATCAACCTGCCCAGTTCATGTGTTTTACAAAAGGGAAGAAGAAGAAGAAGAAGAAGAAGAAGAAGAAGAAGAAGAAGAAGAGGAAGAGGAAGAAGAAGAAGAAGAAGAAGAAGAAGAAGAAGAAGAAGAAGAAGAAGAAATTTTAATCCCCTAATGATCTTTATGTGGGTCTGGGGCCCTTGATGCCAGCCAGATGTCAAGCGTGGCTGTACATCGTCTGAGACAGTGTAGGTGGATTCTTTAACCTTCTGGAAATGATCAAGGGAAAGCTGGTGTAACATAATGGCCAAGTTTGAGCCAGGCAGTCTTTGGGTAAAATCTCGGCTGACATGTCCTGTAGCAGACCTTGCCCTCCATTAAAGTGGTAGAATTTTATCACTTTTTTTTTTTGTGGAGAAATTTTCTACATCAGACCACTGGGTCCCACCAAAGGGGTCAGGATTCCACCCCACGTTTATTCAGTGGTCCTGATTCTGTGTTTTTAAATTTAGCACGTGGAGTTTTCCGCATCGCTCATCTCTCCATGCCAAGGAAATAGCAAACCCACTTTGCCCTGTTTAACTTCTGTTAGGTTTCTGTTAAAGGTGCAGAGCCAATAAAATGAATGGAAAGTCAAAATGGGTTGCACTGCATTCCTTGTGTGGTGTTTCCTCTGAATATAATATAATATAATATAATATAATATAATATAAGTGTGTAGATACAGCAATGCATCCTGATTTCTCAAGTCCTTATTTTGTACAATGTTTGAATAGTCTGGGAAATTGTCTTGATTACATTACAGTTCAGATGCTGGGGAGAAATGATGAATTCACTCTCCCTATACAGTGGTACCTCGGGTTAAGTACTTAATTCGTTCCGGAGGTCCGTTCTTAACCTGAAACTGTTCTTAACCTGAAGCACCACTTTAGCTAATGGGGCCTCCTGCTGCTGCCGCGCCGCCGGAGCACGATTTCTGTTCTCATCCTGAAACATAGTTCTTAACCTGAAGCACTATTTCTGGGTTAGCAGAGTCTGTAACCTGAAGCGTATGTAACCTGAGGTACCACTGTACATTCAGATCAACTTTGGAAGCCCCCATCTGGGAACCTTCACCATTTGAGGTGAGCAAGGGCAACACGAGAAGAGATTCTTATTAGGGGTGGTAACCCTCTTGCAGAATGTTCTCCCCAGGAAGATTTCCGTACCTTTTAACCTTTCTATTAGACAAACCCCATTTAATTCTCCCAGGCCTTTTAATTAACTCTTTTTAATCCTTGATGGAATAAAATTTTAATTGAGGCTCTTTTTAATCTCTGTGTATTTTAAATCTTTTGTTAGTGTTAATACTGCTGATCTCTCTTTATTGATTGCATTGGAGGGGGTCGAGGTTTGTAAACCTGCTGGGATGTGTATAAAAATCCACATATGTGTGTTGTAAAACAAGGGGTTTTTTTTGTCCGCTTGGGTATTTATGCCATCTACAACACTTTGTGCTGAGAACAGGAGGAAGCAGGAGCGTGTGGTTTGTTTTTCCACGCGCTACTAAGTTTGTACAATCACAAATGTGATTCCCCCGTTCAAAGGTAATTTCTCTTCTCCTTGTAAAAGCTGAGTGAAGGAGGCAAATTAAGACCTGCAAGGCAAGCTACAGTGCACCTAATGTTTTATTGTGACACAATTGTTGTTTCTTTGCTTTTGAGTTGAAGATGTAGGGCATAGACTCTTTCCTGCCCCCACCAACTAGCTGAATCCATCAGTGGAGGTATTTTCCTATTCCTTCCAGCTGCCTGGCCTGCTCTATGCCTTTAACAGCTTTTTGATGGGAGGAAATCAGCAGGTGAAGCTCCACAGCTTGGAAATAAACATTAACACCTCCTGATGTCTGCCAAAGAGACAGCTACAGTGCTTTGTAGAAAGTTGGCAGCTGTAGCTGCCACTGACTTTTCCCAAATCTGATCAGATGCCATTAGTGAGGAACAGGAGGAGTAATAAAATCAAAGCAATGTGACCATTGCCTTTTACTTTAGTGAAACTCACAAGTAAGGCTGTCTGGTTTACATATATCGAGGATTATTGGGTCTTTGACTGAAGATTCCACTCTGTATAGATTTGCAAAGATTTGACTGTACAGATTTGCATAGATTCTATTCTCAGGGGATAGAAGCAGTTGGTTTTTAAACAGACTGTAGGTTGAGAGAATTCACTGGTACTGGACAGCCTGGCTGTATGTGCTATGGGAGAAGCTTCTGGGAAGGAAAACAACATTTTTCTTTTCTTTTGACAAAAAGAGGAGCTATTTTTTGTTTTTCTTTTTGGTGTGTTTAGGTGGTGGATGGTGGAAGTACAGCCAGCAGGAAGCAGACTTCTGAAAATAACCTTGAAAAGTTGGGATAAGGGCTGCCTGTTCTCCTGGGCAAAAATGATGAATAATAGTTTCATATGAAAATTCCTCTTGATGGAGAATCGTTGGCAGGTAAATTGGTTTCAGTTGAGTAGGCTTCCCAAAATAATTCCCACAATGCATTGCATCATAGGATGCTATTTTTAAAAATTGTATTTCATGAAACATAGCACAAAGAAGAGTGGATATGGTTATATGTCCCATGTCTGCAAGGTCAAGGAAACCAATGGGCATCTTATGATAATTGCTACTCAAATGAAGTCCTGGTAGTCTTTCCCTCCATATGCTCCCAGCAGCACACCAAATATGCACAGGAACATGCCATATGCCAGCACAGTGCCAGGATCTGCCGGATCCCAAAGCCTAAGGTGGATGGGATCTTCTCAGAAGAGGAAGCAGTCCCAGTGCTTGCTCTAGCCCCCAGTCTCTCTAGCCCCCAGTCCCAGTGCTTGCTGGGATTATGATTTCGCATCCCTTAGCAGATATTTTGGAATAGTCATTGCAGAAGAACACATCACCCTTGGGCTCAGCTGGATCTGCTTTCTACAGCTGCATATGAAAGGTTCAAATAAAGCATAAACCCCAATATCTATAATCTCTTTCTCAACTTTCAGTGACTATCGGGTATTTCAGTAATGGGGACCAATGAGGCTCTGAGTCTAC